ATGGCTTCTTTTTCATCCAAAGGGCTTACTTCGTCCTTGTTGATACGGTACCATGTGTCACAAACGAGCGCTCAAAAAAGTGTGCGGCTCTGAATTCTAACGGCGCTGACAATACCAAGTGTCGTTTGAATGCGACAGAAGCCAGTGCAATGAAGAAACAAGCATTTAAAGACGCCGCACGTGCGCCTTTTCTCCCCCTCGAGGGCGCCGCTGCTTCGCCGACCAATCTCCTCGGGTCTAACACCCAGCAAACTCCAGAAACATCTTGAAGAAAAGGGGCGTGGTGCTGTAGAGTTTTTTAGCGTTAGGAGAGGGGCCCCACCTTTCCACAGCCTTGGCTGTGCTGCGCACCGACGAAACGGCTAGCAATTTCGGGAACCTGACGGCTAGTGCGTATAAGCCAGCAGCGGAGGGAATCGCATCAGGAGATGAAGAGGTTTTCCACCTGCGGGTGAAACCTTGTCCTACAAGCAGCAGAAGTGTGTGTTTACCGCCCGTGGGCGAAGATGTGTTCTGCAGTCGTAGCGCGTGAGTGGCCGACGTGTTACCGGCAAAGAAGTTCTGTTATTGAGGTGTGGACATTTGACGAGGCGAGAGTTTCCTGGAAGAGAAACCTCAGATGCGACAGAACGACAACCGGCGCTGGACTTAGAGTGAGTGTTTTCTTAAAGAGAAGCATTCAAGCTTTGTTCCAAGAACTTTGGACTGAATACGTTTGAAAACATTTTAGTCAATAAGTATGTTGGTTATTTAATGCATGAGATTGCATTGTAGCATGTGTTGTTGTTTTTGCCGATTTTTTTGAGCGCATCTTGTTGTGTTTTGTAGCACATTGTTTTGAGTACCTTGTGATTCGTGACGTGTTGGATTATTGCCGAGTGTGCATGTATGTGTGTTTTTGGTTCTGCCTTATCTGAAAATAAATTTGTTTTTGTTATCAACTCTCGGCTCTGCCTTGTTCTTTGGACCACAACCAGTGTTCGCTGGTGCAGTAAGAGGGACCAAAACTAAATTGTCTGTGCTTTCGTGGCGGGTATCGGGGAACCAGCATGCGCCTCCTTGGAATCGGCTCGGCGATTGCCTCCATAATTAAAGGAACAAGTGACACCATGGATGTATGTCTCCATGAAAACCTGTTCTGTTTAAAATTGAACACCCAAAGAGGTTCATGCATCATTAAAACTGAAATGTGTACCACTAATAACAGCAACATAAACAATAATATTACCTAGATTATTAATGGAAGAGCTGCTGTTCCAATCAGCAGGGGCACTCCTGTCAGCAAGCAGTGGCAATTTGTTTGAAAAATACCAATATAGACGGTGGGAAAGCTTTTCTTTCGGGCTCTTTGACAGTTTTTCTTTAATTTATTTTTCATCTGCTGTCTTTGAGAGATATGCTTGATAGCTGTGCTGAATTGTCATGAATTGAAACACACCATGAGAAACACGTCAAATCATTTATGACCAATAAGCATTAATGACACTTACAGTGGGTATGTACTAACAAACTTCATTAGTATGTACCCATTTTAAGTGCACTAACGGTTAAAACATTGTTTCAACGACTCCCCAACTTACTTTCATAGAAAACTAATGCATTTGCAGACCGCTTAAGCTGTAGTGTTCGTTTTATACTTACCAGTTAGTGCGTACTGACTGTGTACCGCGATAAAATTCTGCCCAGAAAATTTTACTGCACCGCAGAACTTGCTGATGCCACAATGTACCGGGAATGTTTTTCTGCCATGTCAATGAGTGCCGAAATCAGCGAATCAGTTACTCCAACATTTTCGTGGTTGCAGTAATGACATTGAAATAATCGTAGGGGAAAAATGAAGGCGAGGTGGTGACCACTGGCAAACGTGCCCGTATAACTTATCAACGATAAAAAGCCTTATCACAGTAAGCATTTCTGGCTGTCTACTCGGGCATGTGCCTGTGGCGTAGCGCCACTTTAAGCCTACTGTAGGCTTTTAGTAAGTGGCTACTTGAATGCGCAAGGCAGCCGATCGCTGCTGCTTCATTGTGGGGAAATGTGTTCAAGCGTGCACTGCTTTACAGAAAAGTAAGCAGCTTGGTGTCACGCAGTTTAGCATTGTGGGTTGCGGGCACCTAGAAACCTTGCTGTATTATGCTAACACGCACACCGTACAGCAATCATGCTGTTGTAATAGATCTCTCCCTGTTTGTAAACAATGTGACGTGATGGCGGGCACCCCGCCCACCATACCCTCTCTCGGAGCAGGTACTGGGTGGCGAAAAAGTTCCGCTGGTGGCATCTTTCTGCATAGCAGAGCTGCATCTCTGCATTCCTTCGACAGAAATTTCTACATTACTATGTTCTAAAGTCACAGCTTTTGAAAGAAGGGGTCGCAGAAGGGTCACTGCTCATAGTGGGGTAATTTGTTCGTCGTAGTTGGATGGATGGAGAAACTTTATTTAGAGTACTGAGAGAGGCGACTAGTACGCAGTGGGCTTCACCCACGTAGATGGCAGCCATAAAAAAATCTGATCTTTTTTGAGAGCAAACGTTTTGAATGTACACGGTGACTGGCACTTCGAGAAATATTTCCATGGCATGCATGTAAACTTATTCAATTTCCATCGTGGCATGTGCAATGCAGTTTTAAATGAGGTACAGTGTGGGCGGCAGCATGGTTTTAAGCTGTTTTGTGCGATGTCACAAATAAGATTCTCACTCATTGCATAAAAGTCTTATTGGAGATGAATAAAAAAAAAAATTCTGCCACTGCGTTTCTCAATAACCCAGTAAAAATTCATGTGATGTAAAACCTGACAACTTGATAATATATAACATTATCTGGCACAGTTACCTTACTGCATTTGACACCTATAACTGTGTTTTCATACCTATATTGCTCCTTTAGGCCTGATAAACAAACTTCTGATGCGCATTGCCACTTCATAAGCATCGAGCCGTAAAAGTACAAAGTAGTACAAGAAACGAAAATCACCTGCTGTTTCCATTAACACGTATCAGGTATCTGATAATATGAGTTATAGCCATGGTGAAGCACATATGCAGATTCGGCAATGCTACAACATGCTGATAGCTCATGCGTAGTAGTATATATCACACGGAGATCATGCACATTTATTTTTCTGCACGCTGTGCATACGCTGAGATATACCCACTCGCAGATGGTCACCTCAAATGCATTTTTATCTTGACTAAAATGTTGGATCGTAAAGTTCCATCGACAACCGGTTACTGCAGCCAGGCCCACAACAGATACCAGTGTTTTCGCCAACAGGACACATCGCGTTATTCACACTGCACACACTACGCACAATATTCCCAGTTTCACTGTTCGTAAAGGTAAACCAATATTGTCGATGACTTTCAACACACACTACACACCACAGTCAACACTGCACATTTTCGAAGACAATGCCGCTGTTCTTCACACAGGCCACCACGTGTGTTTACTCCTCCGAGATAAACAGCCAGTCAGCGTGGCAAATATTTCATCACACACTTTATCACACACCTAGATATTCTCCTGACATGTACCACAGCTAACTGTTGCCACTGTGAGATGACGATAAAGCTCTCCAAAAGAAAAAAAAAAAAAAACTTGCCCAAGTAAGCGAGCGACTGCACCCCACTTACCCACCAGGGGAGTACTTTGACAATCACCCCCTTGCACGTTCACCGGTCACGGCAGTCTGTGACGTACCCTAGTAGAGGTCTATTCATACTGCACATGTCTAGGGATAAGCCAAACGCACCTCTGTCAGCTGCCAGGACTGCTAGAGCATCGCAAAGAGCACATCGCTTGCAGACAGCACGTTGTCGCCACATTAACCCAACAGGCTACTTGCTGCATCAGCGCATGGCCTGAAGCGCAGTGGGCGTACTCTGCAGCAAATGGATCAGCAGTCACGTTGTTCACCGAGTGGGCGAAGCGCTGCACGCAACTACCCATGTAGTAAATGATTTGGCTCTCTACAAGTGTACCGCGTTCTAAAAAAATCTGTGTCAGTTTTCGCGCAGAAGCAGACTGCAGAACTCATGTATCGCGGTCATCCAGTTATATTCTTTTTGTCGCTGTACCAAGCTGCGTGTTTCGGACCCTGCAGTACTGTCGAAATGTTTCTGGGCACCGCCACCGCGGGCTATCGGACCGTTGTGCGGGAGTGACAGAACTTTTTCTGCACTTCGGCAAAAAAAAAAAAAAGAAATGGCTTTGCTGTGGGCACTTTAGACAGTACTTCCTGTGGTACTGCATTTATTCCTTTGTTGGCGGTGATGGCCCGTGTCAGGAGATGCAAACATGCAGCTGTTGGTTAGTGCCTAGTATGCTTACTGCGTAGTTATGCTGCCATTCTCGGCAGGTACGTATTAACTGTGTTTCACTGTATATAACACGCACCCTTTCGCCTTCTATTTGCATGCATGCATCTTCTTTACATGTACATATTCAACAGTAATGCTTTTTGTTTATTCCGTTGCAATTGTATCATGTATTTTTGCCAACTCAATATGTATATGTATATATGTCTTGTGTAGTGCCCTCCTTATGCAATGACTCCCCCCCCCCCCCCCCCGCCAGGGCCTGTAAGATACTTTGAAATAAATAAATAAAAATAACTGTACACCACTTGGCATTCATTTACATGTGTGAGTAGTCAATTTCACAGGTGATTTGTGGTAATACCAAATGATCCCACTCCCTCCTTTGCCCGGCCATCATCATTCACTTTGGGAATATGCTGTGATTTTTTTCACAATGTGACAATAGTCAAATGCAACCTGTCATGAACCTTTGATTTAATTAATTGTGTGACGAACGAACCTGTAGATATTTAAGTTGTAGGAAATTTGCCTTAATAACTAAAACGGTACTTCTTGGTAAAAACATGGTGCTTCAGTAAGCAGACGACATATATTAAATGAAGCTGTTTGTATTGACAAGGTCTCGTATATTAAAGTACCGTGAGCACCAGTTTTACTTGCAACATTTGCCTCCTCAGGTATAACGATGGTCTTGTGGAAGTTATTGGCCTGTACTCATCCTTCCATGTGGCACAGCTTCAGGTTGGCATATCCGAGCCTGTACGGCTTGGACAAGCTAGGGAGGTCAAGGTGAGTTCCTTAGAAGGTGGAATCGTTTTGCATGCTAAGCTAGCAGGAATAAAGCCATGCCACATGTTGTTGATGTATTGCACGCGTCAATGGATGAACACTTGTTAGCACAGTAAAAGCTCCTTAAGTCAAAGTCATGTAAGCAATAAATCAGGTAATTCAAACTTACAGCTAATTTTAACTTAGTCCCTGGTTAAGCTCAGCCCTGTATATTTATTAGTAGAATCCCTCCACAAGGTGGCTAAGGCACCGCAAGTCGCGGCATCAAATCCCAGCTGCTGCGGCTGCATTTTCTAAGGGCGCAAAAATGCTTGAGCCCCCTGTGTGTATATTTAAGTGCACGTTAAAGAACTCCAGGTGGTTGAAATTTCCGTAGCCCTCCACCTCAGGTGTCTCTCATAATAAAATGGTGGTTTTGGGACGTTGAAACCCCAACAATTATTTCTTAGAAGAAAGACTTGATAATTAAAACACATTGATATCCACAACAGGAATGCAAAATGGGAGGGCCTCGTTCTCATCACTTCTCACAAAAGTCATCCTAGCGTGATCATAGTGTGTTGGGAAACGAAACCCAAAGCAAATTTACTGGAAATTGAAAACAACAAAACAGCATTATTTCTCAGCAGATGAAATCCAGGGAGCACTTTGGCAGGCTGAAAACAATGCTCATAGAGTCTCGGTGGAAGAAATGCAAGGGAGCGAAAATTGCTGATTACTTTTAATAATATTGATTGAATTAACTCTGCAATGTAAGTTAACCTGTTTTGACCATAACTAGTGACATATATTTTGCCATTAAGGCTCTATGCTTACGTGAATGGATATCGGTGCTTGTTTCTCACAAACCACTATCTGATCAACTCTGCTCGCTGTTAGAGCTTCATAGACCTAATACAGCACTTAATTCGTGGTAAAGTGTCTAGAAGTGCCATCGTTGGGTTCTGCTCGCACCGTGTGGCGCGAGCTTTGTTCATTTTAGCGCCGTTAATTTCCATTAAGAAAATCAGTAGCTTTCCCTGTAGATACAGTTACGATTATATTAGCCATTGAACTAGCCAGTGAGAATGTTTCAAGTTGAGTTTTACTTCTTTTGTTCTGGCCAGTTGGAGTTGTTGGAACGTCTTCCTGTGCAAATTGATGGTGAGCCTTGGGAGCAGGCCCCTGCCACGCTGTGTATCACCGTTCCACTGCCAGGCAGCTGTGCTCGTGAACCAGGGCGAACATCCATTGTGAATTTGCAATCTCGCAGAAGAAAGGGCTGTTGTCTAATAGGAACACCGCATTTCTTGATCGCCGCAGAACGCAATGAACATATCGGGTTTGCTTCTGCAATTTATCTTGCTTCACTGCGAGACTGTGGGAGCCTATGCTTCTGTTTGTGTATGTTACTGTATTTAGATATGCCTGTGTACTACATGGCTACGCAACATTGTTGGTGTTGGGATGTTACTCCCAATGGACACGAGTGATTACAGTTGTGACCTGCCTTATTATTTTTTTACTAAAAGCATATCATTCCATCATTTTCATTGCTTCATGCAGAATTGCGATATCGTGTTTTTTTTATCTCCCTGCAATACTCAGTGCTGGAAATGTATATCTTCTCTTGTGATCTGGTTTTTGCGGGATTGATGAACCAAAGTAGTTTACGAATCTATTTTGTTTCCCATGTACCTTCAATCTTTTTCAATTCCTAAACGCAATACGCGACATGCTTCGAATGGTAATTTCAATCTGCCCAAATGTTTTAATGTTTACGGAGAAAGACTGATACAGTTTAGTGGAACAAAAATATGGAACACGGTCCCCCTAGAGATTAAAACGGCACGTAATTTCAGCATGGCATGTAAATCATTTTTTCTGTGGAGTCAAGACATGTAAGCATGTGTGTGATTCGATTTTCATTGTATTTTTTTAATAAGTGCCTATGTATAGAAACTAGCTGCAAGCTAATAAGTATGCATATCTGCAAGAAAAAATGTATTACTATGTTATCTGTATCACATGATTGTTTTTTTATTTATGTTGTTACCTCAGAGCTGACCTGTACACTTTTTTATGTTGCACATTGTATTGGACCGTCCACTAGCCACTTTAGGCTATCGGTCCAAATAATCCCTGTAATTGCATATATCTATTTATGAAAATAAAGCTTCATTGATTGATTGATTGATTGATTGATTGAATGAAAAAATTTCAATTGACATAGTACACCAGGGGTTTAGCCAATCTTTACATCTTTATGTGTCGGAGCTCTGGGCTTTGTCAGGCTGGACAAATAGAAGTATATAAGAACGGTGGGATAAGCTGTTCGCATTAAGGATTTTTGTAACTAGTGCATTGAGGCCATGATGAATGTAGTATTAGGACTAAGTGCACACTTCTTTGTGCATCTAGAATACTTGCATGTGCTCTACAGGGCCTATAACGAGTAGTTACACTTGCTTGTGATATACTTTTTCTTGCATTATTACTGAATGTTGTACAGTATCTGCATGCTCATAAATATGAAATTCGTGCTAATTCGTATTGTTGCCGGCCAGACATAATTTTTTGCTTGGTCATGCTGTTTTTTTTACTTGCAATAATAGCGTACACATGTGGCAGATATAGCTGCAGTGTAGAAAAGTCAACGATATTGTCATTACGCATTGTTATTGTAAATTATGACGATATTGTTTCTAATGTGTACTGTTGTGATACTGCTCATCAGTTATATTGTACAGTTAGATGTGCGAAATCATGCCGGGGAACTTTTTATCTTGTTAGCATTTGGACGTTAAGTTATTTGTACATCCTATTCATGAAGATGGTAACATAATTTGTGTCATTTTAATCATCACATCGTACATTAAACAACATGCACTACATTTTTGTATGTGAGTTTATGAGATTATGTGTTCTAATAGTTTTTAGAAAATGAAAATTGGTTAAGAACTGGTGTCTGTGGGTATTTCACAGAGCAAGCCCTGAGAAAGTACTTTCTAATTTTCATTGTTGAAGCCCTGCAATAAAATTAGTGTGCTGGGCTAAGCGTTGGTGCTGCTTATATCAGTTCAGCACATTGAATGGTGTGGGGTGACAGAAAGGAAAATGCAGCACTTGTACTGTTAACAGTTGTCTTGAAATTGCATTTGTAATGCTCAGTATGGACATCTATTGTGCATGCCAACACAAGCTTAGCTGTAAAAATTGGTTAGCTTGTGCTTAGCATTGACTCTTTGCTGCTGTTTTGTGAAAGCACATGTCCTCCCAAATGTCACATTTTTCATATATTTACATTTTTGAGGTGAGTAATGCATTAAAAAAAAAAAAACACTGCTGTGCAGTGCAAGAGTGTGCTCCACGGTTGGATCTGTATCTCAAATTATTGCGTTTGTGGGTTGTGCCAAAAATATTCACATCTTGGAGATTGGTTATTTTTTACATCGCATAATTGAAGGACATGACATTTACGGCGGTACTCCGTGCTACATTGGGAGATGGAAGTTTTTGCCTCGTATTAGGGTGCCTCTATACCATGAGCAGACTAGGCATATAAGTGGCTTTTTTTTATTTGAATAAGAGAAAGATGATGAAGGCATGTAGTCCGTTTCAGTGTGTAATAGAAATACTTGCAAAATATTTTTGATCGTAACTATCAATCCAGTACTAGGAGACATCAATGAATGAGCTACAGTGCAATTCATTTGTGAACCTTTAAGTACGTGGAATGAAACAGGAGCTAGAAGCTATCCTGACCAGTATGACTGTGTAGTAGTGTGGAGTGGTTAACGAAAACGACACAGGCAAAGGGGTCAGTAGTCCTTGTTACTCTAGCAGCTAGCCAATTCTTTGTCAGCTGCTTGTGAGAAGTGTGAAAGTCACATTATCACAGCATGAATCAGATGTCAAAGTAGAGCAGTGGCGTTTGATTATGCCATTTAGTTACAATAAAGTTTGACTCTTGTTGATGTATTTTTTGCATCAGTGCATTCCATTAGAATGAGTAGCTTCAGTATGTAATTATTTATTATTCATCACTTTTGGTACTTTATTACAGTGTTCCCTGCTCCAGTAGTAAGGCATACTTTTTTGGTGTGTGTGTGATGGGGCGGGGGAGGCATTCAACCATACTTTATTCATGTGCATGTACATCTGTATGTGTGTGTGTGTGTGTGCATGAAAGCGTACCCCAGCTGTCTTTAGCCAGAGTTAAAAATTTTCTGATGCACTCAATGACGGCGTGACCATATGCTTATTGCTTACATACGGCGTGAAGTAAGCCAATATTTTAGGGGTGAAGCTCCTTAAGCCATGAGTCGTGCGTCTGCAATGTATGTAGTAGTAGTAGTAGTAGTAGTAGTAGTAGTAGTAGTAGTAGTAGTAGTAGTAGTAGTAGTAGTAGTAGTAATACGTAGCCACCTCTATGGCTGCACTAGAGAAGCGGCACCTCCCCACCAATATGTCACGTGAGTCGCACACTGGCGGTCAAGAGGCGCGTACTTTTGCTCGCCGGTGCCAATTCGTGTCTAAACAAACCATATGTTACACGGACATTGCCGGCCCTTACCTTGGGGGTTGGTATACGGCCGCTGTGGTTCACCAAGACAGGCAGATGGGTGCTCTGTCCTTCCGCGCAACCAATGCTACCCATGCTGAAGAGGTGGCCATAGCTGGGGCTATATCACACGACAGTTGTCAAACCAGATTATTAGACTCCAAGGGAGCTTGCCGAAATTTTCAACTGGGATGGATCACACCATAGCTGCGGAAATTCTTAAATCTTGTCCGCGAGTAGGTTACCCCTCTCCAAGTTCAATAATCTGGACTCCTGGCCATCAGGGCCTCGCATGCAATGAGGCGGCGCACGCTGCCACCCGCGCACTCATTACCCGGGCCACTGCGTCGCCCACCGATGACCCCTGTGTTCCAGAAGAAAACGCACCACTCCTAACTTGTAGAGAGATAATTACCCATTACCGGGACTCCCACTGCAGTTTTCCTTCGCCCTGTAAAGGACTCGGGAAGGTGGACAAGAGAATTCTTCTCCGGCTATTTAACAATAGGTTACTGTGCCAGGCAATGCTTGAACACTTTGACCCTACCTTTTCCGGCATCTGCCAGTACTGTGCGGAGGTGGCTGACACCTACCGCATGGTATGGGCATGCCAGCTCAATCCTTCTTTACCCCCAAACCCAAATCCAACAAGAGAAGACTGGGAGGCGGCCCTGCTCGGTTGCCAGGACTTTGCGGCCCGACGAGCCATGGTCCAGCGGGCCAGGACAGCCGCCACGACCAATAGGGTCCCTGACAAGGGACTCCACCTAGTACTGCAGGGAGGCTGACCCACTAGAGGCAGGTCTCCCTGACAACCTGTTTTTTTAAATAAATGTTTACTACTACTACTACTACGAAATGTGACATGCTGCATTATGCGCCAATGCGTTACCCTGACAACACCGCGTCTCCCTATTTTCGTGAAGGAGGGACGCCGGAACCGCTGAAACGCGCATGCGTCAAGGCAACGCAGCGCTGCGCGTGCCTGCGAGTATATGGCAGGACCGGCGCCTGGCGTGGCAATGCCGGGGTGACGCGACGAAATGAACGCTGGTGAGCACGCGCACCACGTCACGTCCAAATGTATCGACTCATTGACGGTGGAATGTAGTCTCGTTCTCACACGACACGCATCTCATGATTATCATGTTTGCACCAGTCACATACCTTCGTCATCCATTGGCGTCATGTAATACCAAGCTTGGCATATGTGAAGCTAGCGAAACGGCCGCGAGTGCATCATCAGTGTAGCATGTCATGTTGTTACATGACACGCATCTCACTGATTATGTTTGCACCAGTCACATACCTTCGTCATCCATTCACGTGCCGTAATACCAAATTCGGTATATGTGACGCTAGCGAAACGGCCGCGAGCGCTTCATGAGCGTGGCATGTAGTCATGTTACATGACACCCATGTCATTATTTTCATGTTAGGGTCTGTCGCTTGTTTTCGCCATGCAATTATGCCATACCATACCAGTTTTGCAAGACGCCTTGGGAACAAAACTACCGCGAGAGTTGCATTACTATAAAATGTAAATCATGACATACATGTCATAATTTTCATGTCATGACTAGTCAAATATTTTCTTCATACAGTCATGTTATGCCATACCAAGTTTGGTATCAATACCATTATCGAAACGGCCAGGAGAGCTAACAGTCGTAGGCGAATAGTAGTAGGTAGTAGATAGGTGGGTGGGTGGGTGGGTGGGTAGGTAGGTAGGTAGGTAGGTAGGTATGTAGGTATGTAGGTAGGTAGGTAGGTAGGTAGGTAGACAGACAGACAGACAGACAGACAGATAGATAGATAGATAGATAGATAGATAGATAGATAGATAGATAGATAGATACGCTCAAAGTCGCCGA